AATTGTTGCCACCAAATATTATCGCCCTGTATTATATTTAAAGAAATTAAATAATGAAGAGTCTGCATGAATCTATGCATGTTTCTCGCTTATGATAAAACAACGGTACCTAGAACCATCAAAATTTGAATAATGTAATCTTCCATAGAATATCGGCGTGTGGAAGCTCTAATTTGAATTTAAAATTTGGTTTATTATCGATTTCATATTTTATAACACTTCAACGAATTTTTGATTAACAAACTCAGCGATTTCAAAGCGAGCAATGGCAACACTCTACGAGGGGGGGGGGAATTTATCTCCAGCGAGCGATGTATATTGCTGATATACTGATACTGAATGAGACCTAAAATCACTTTTCTTTTAAAATATAGCTTCCCTTATGATCCCTAACACAGCCGTTTACTTTCCTCTTCCGTAATTAACGTCAGTCTCCTGCTCTTGACTGCATTTGCAAAGCCACCGTCCGAATATTCGCCAATTTCCACGTATGCGGGTTAGTTAAGCTTTTACTGTTAAAGGATGACTGCATAAAGCAAATTTCTGTCTTCTGATTTCAGAAATGTTCCTCTTTTTTACTTAAATTACTTTGTTTGCTAAATCTGTTAAAAGAAAAATGAAAATTTAGAAAATGTTTAGGATTTAGATTTAAATTATTTAAATATCAATATGAGTGGAAAAATAAATTGTATTTATTATTAGGTTCCAAGCGAATACAATAAATATACCCTATTATTATTTATTTTCTCTATTTTGAACTGAAATTTCATCCTTAAATCTTGTAATATACAGTCAAAAGTCGTTAATTCGGACACCCATAATCCGGAATGATCTATAATCCGGACCTCAAAGCTAAAAACTTTCTGCGCATGCACCGCGTTGGCACATGCGCACAGGCGTTTTATGCGTGCACGTAAGACCTTGACTACTGCACATATGCGTGTGCACAAGTGCAGAATACGTTTTCGCCTGCGCGTTTAAGTATAACGGATGGTGTAAGCTAAAATTATCTAATTATCTATTTCAGTTAATGTTAATGATTGCATTGTTCCTTAATCTTCGAGTTGGATCGCGCTTATTATTTTTTGCAGACTGTAAGAGCAATTTTATAAAAGTAAACTTGAACTTGAACTTTCGATTATGTCAAATAGAATTTCCGATGATGGAACTTCCAAAGGATCTACAAAACGAAAATATGTTTCAATGTCCAACAAACAAAAAGTGGAATTGCTGCAAAAAATGGATAAAGACATGAAAAATGTGACAGAGAGGTTAGTGAAAACGAAAAAATTTCGATTGACAAGTTAGTCGGTATTCTCGGCACAGCAATTACGGGACTTGAACAGCGGAACTTTGTAACTGAACAAGAAATTATGTCTGTTTATAGAATTAAAGAGAAAGTATTATCACATAAAACGAAACAACTTAAACAACTTACATTGAAAGAAATGTTTAATAAAGTAAATAAATATTAACCTTTTTTTTTTTTTTTTTTTTTTTTTTTTTGTAAATTTTGATACCCTTTAGATCATAATTGTTCTTTATTTCATAAATTACGGTTTCATATTTTTAATTTTATATCACAATTTTTTACAAGGTCTTCAATATAAGTATGCATTGTATCATGTTCTTTCTCAATCATTCTTTTCTTAGATTTTTCATTTGTGCTTTTTTCTTTGGATTGCAACAGATTTATATTTAATATCTGCTTACCTTTGATTACTTTTTAAGCATGTAAATCCATTTAATAATATTTTTTGCCTGAATTTTAGTATCAAAATTATCACCACTAGCATGAGTATTAACTGGCTAGAAAATGCTAGTTTTAACCTTTTTGTTGGGGGGGGGAGATAATACGCTGATGCCTCTTTTCAGGGCTTACAGGACTGAAAGCCCTGAAAAGAGTTGATATGATTTTTAGGTGTTAAAATGAAATTCTTTTTATTTTCATGTCTGAAAAATTTGGTTATGGATTGGCAACATTTTGTTTCTGCTTTGGATTCCATTATTTTGTAAGTTGATATAATTACTATTGATATGAATAGAAATGGCTAAATATGTAAACTATAGACTAGCAGCTGCGCTGCCAGCCTTTGTCTGGCTTTTAAATGTACTGGGAAAATGGCTGAAGGGAACACCAAACATTAAAAATTTAAAAACTGCGTAGAATTTTACTCTGCAGAAAAACTTCATAAAAAAGTTATTATGTATAACAAAATTACAATGACATAAGCAATATCCCTTAATACAAATATTAATTATCCTAATAAATAAATTAACCAACTTCCCTTTACAAAATCTTAAGAACTCAAATGGTATAAAGGAGGTTAAGAACTTTGTTTCCTAAAAAAATCACTCAAAACTTTTCAATATCTTAAAAACAGTGAAATGAGCAATAAATAACATAAAAGAATACAAAAAACAAAAAATTCTGAAAAGCAAAGTAAAATTAATGATATTTTATCTTATATTTTCAAGAGAAAATTACAATGAAATAAGCTATATCCCTTAATACAAATATTAATTATCCTAATAGAAAGATTAACCAACTTTCCATTGAAGAAAAAAAAAATCATGCAAAACTTTCCAGTATCATAGAATTAGTAAAATAAGCAAAAACTAACATGAAAGCAACTCAAAAAAACATAAAATTCCTGCTCAGAATTTTACTCTGCAGAACAACTTTACCAAAAAAATTCAATAAAAATTTATTATATATGTATAAAAATTGCAATGAAATATGCCAATCTCTTAAAAACAGTGACATAAGAAATATGATGAAAAATTGTTGCTAAACCCATATTTCTAAAAGAATGAAACTATTCAAAATGATGTGATTTCATCAAAAAGTGATTTCATCAAAAATCTATCAGCAACAATAAGAAAGAAAAATTGTTGCCAAAATCACATTTTTAAAGATGTGAGAAGTGTACTCAGAAGCTTCATTTAATATTTTTTTTTTTAAATACAAAATATTATCATTTTTCCAAAATTCTTTTTGTAAAAGCAGTCGCAAGGGTGAAAGTTTAACGTGTCCAAAAATCAAAGAAAAATAAAGTGTACATTTTTAAAAATAAAATTTTTTAGAAAAAATCCCGTTGAAAAGGTGTTAAGCTTCCTTTGTTGAATAAATTCGTATTTAATCGATTTATTGAAATACGAAATTTATTTTAAGTTCGTAAAATAGCTAAGTCCCTACGTTTCATGACGATGTGAAAATGGAGTGTGTAGAGTAAAATCTCGCTTTCCTATAGCCCATTATGTCTCAAAATGACGCGATTTCGTCACAAAACATAAATTTAAAAAAATTCGAATTCGAATTTCAAAAAAATCGCTTCGAGAGGTGCACTGGCTCTTGTCTAGATGTACCTATGTACTAAATTTCATAGCCGTGGGTCTATCAGCTTACGCGCAGCATGAACGAAAGGCACACACACAGACACTTTCTTTTATTATATGTAGAGATTTCTCCATATTATTTAATTTTATTTTTTGCTTGCTGTTTGAGGCAATATTTACATAATATTGCCTCAAACAGCAGAAACTTTTAAATTATCTAAATTTATATTACACCTCAAATAAATTATTATGATTGAAAAAAATCATATGCATGGAATTTTTAAAATAGACATTTTGCTGTAAGTCAGAGTAACAAATTTAGCTCACTAAAGTGTGTATTATTTCATGGTATTGGTATGATCAGCAGTAGTAAGTCAGAGTAACAAATTTAGCTCTCTAAGTGTGTATTATTTCATGGTATTGGTATGACCAGCAGTATGTGGTTGAAATGCAGTATCATGATTCATGGTTTTGCATTTCAGCCACATACTGCTGGTCAAACTCAAGCCTTAATTAAATCAATTTACTGGAAATAAATTAATCATATTTTTTGGAATTCAGACTCGTAGAGAAATGATACTTTTTTTCTGAATTTGAAGGTAATCATTTCTGGAAAATAATTCAATGTTGCAAAACAAGGTAAAAAATGATTTGCAACAATGATGAATTTCTATCAGAGAGGCATGCAGTCTTATAACAGATAGTAGGGATTAAAGAGAGAAACAATTTAAAGTGTACATAATGTAAAGGTAGCAAAATTTTTTAAAAGGCTTTTGTAAAACTAAATAGTATATTGTTTCTGAATATTTTCTCATGAATAAAATAAACCTTTTATGAAGCAATATTTTCATATCAGTATATGGTACATATTAGATAAATCTTGATTCTTTCAAATAAAACTCTTTCAAAAATAAATTTTCTTTTATGAAATTAGTTAATAATTAGCACTCAGTATTAATATTAGAAACTAAGAGATGGTTTTATTCTGCTGTGAAAAATCTCGGAGGTAGTAACATGAAAAAATCAGCAACTTCCCATAACACATGTCCTAAAAGCACAGTGGATGAATAATATTTTACATTTTTGTGTACTGCTGTTTATTTTGTTACCATTGCTGTTTGCTATATTCTGCACTGAAAATTCATATTTGAAATGTAAGATATATAATTCTGATTCTTAAATGATAAAATACTTCAGATCTACTTTATATTAATGCTGCAAGTTTCTCCCCCCCCTTTTTTTTATTTTCTCAAAAAAAATTAATATTTTGTTAATGGAATAGGTATTCCAGTATATTGATGTAGTTAAATAGATTATTTATCTGTTTGGGAAATGAAATGAAATATGTATGATTTGTCTATAAGTGAAATGAAGTATGTATGATATGTCTGCATATGATGTGCCTTGTTTAGTTATACATCTGAAGTTCTAGATAATACAAAATTACTGTGCAGTTCATGAAAAGTCAATGATTTTTTCTTCAAACTAAAATATTAATTTTAATTCAGAACTTTTTATTTGTTTGTTAATGTTTGCAGGTATGTTTTTAAATTATGAAAATTCAATATATTACATTTTGCACCTTAATTATGCTAGGTATTAGACTTGATCTGTTCCATGATATTAAAGTTTTTTCCCCTTCTTTTTTTTTTTTTTTTCAGTTTATTACTGAAGTTTACACTGATTCACATTATTTGAAAAATAAGGGATCTTACCTATATACATATCTCATTGAAATTTTCACATAAAAAATGGGCAGAAAAGTAACACTTGCTACTTGCACACTGAACCAGTGGGCTATGGATTTCAAAGGAAATTATGAGCGAATCCATGAAAGTATCAGAATTGCTAAAGAAAGAGGTGCAACTTATCGTGCGGGTCCAGAATTAGAAATAACAGGATACAGTTGTGGTGATCATTTTTATGAAAGTGACACCTTCCTTCATTCTTGGGAAGTTATTCAGAAACTCATGCAAGATCCAATATGTAAGGATATCATAGTGGATGTAGGCATGCCTGTTATGCATAAAAATGTTGCTTATAATTGTAGAGTTATCTTTCTGAATAAAAAGTTGCTTTTGATAAGACCAAAGTTAATCCTTTGTGATGATGGCAACTACAGAGAAACTCGATGGTTTACAGCATGGAAAAAAATTCGTCAGACTGAAGACTATTACTTACCTAGAATGATACAAGCTGTATGTGGGCAGAAAACAGTGTTATTTGGAGATGCTGTTATAGCAACTGTAGATACTTGCATTGGTTTTGAAATTTGTGAAGAACTGTGGAACCCTAACAGTTCTCATATTCCACAAAGTCTAGATGGAGTAGAAATAATATCTAATGGTAGTGGTTGCTATCATGAGCTAAGAAAGGCATATGTGGTTGTAGATTTAGTAAAATCAGCAACTGCAAAATGCGGTGGAATTTATCTGTTCTCTAATTTAAGAGGCTGTGATGGAGAAAGAACTTATTTCCAAGGTTGCTCTCATATTGCAATAAATGGGCATATGGTTAGTATTGGAAAACAGTTTTCACTGCAAGATGTGGAAGTCATTACAGCAACATTAGATCTTGAAGACATTCGAACTTATCGCAATAATATTCGCAGTCGTAATTTAGTGGCATCATCATCTCCTGCTTACCCTCGTGTGCAGATTAATTTTGCTTTATCTTCTGATGATTTATTTATACCCTCGTATGAGCCAAGAGAGTGGAAATATTATTCAGCTGAAGAAGAAATAGCATTGGGTCCAGCATGCTGGTTGTGGGATTACTTGAGGCGTAGTGGTCAAGGAGGATTTTTCTTGCCATTGAGTGGAGGTGTGGATAGCAGTAGTGTTGCTACTATAGTTTATTCTATGTGTACGCTTGTATATAATGCTATAACGGATGGGGATGCTGCTGTGCTTGAAGATTTAAGGAAGATTGTTGGTGATCACAAATATGTTCCTCAAAATGCTAAGGAAATTTGTAACCAAATATTAGTGACTTGCTATATGGGTACTAAACAGTCATCAGAAAAAACATGCAACCTAGCTAAGAATTTAGCTTCAGAAATTGGCAGTTATCATATGAAAATTAAAATTGATGTTATAATTGATGCTGTCTTAACAGTATTTACTTTAGTCACTGGAGTCACTCCCAAATTTCATATTCATGGCGGAAGTAGGAGGGAAAATCTTGCTTTGCAAAACATACAAGCAAGAATTAGGATGATAATGGCATATTTTTTTGCTCAGTTAATTTTATGGACTCGAAATCGTTCTGGTGGATTATTAGTTCTTGGCTCTGGAAATGTTGATGAAGCACTTGCTGGATATTTGACTAAATATGATTGTTCCAGTGCTGATGTTAATCCTATTGGATCAATCAGTAAAATGGATTTAAAATCATTCTTGAAATATGCTACTTTCCAATTCAATTTGCCCACCTTAAGTGAAATACTTCTATCTCCTCCAACTGCTGAATTAGAACCTCTGTCTGATGGGAAAATTGCACAGACAGATGAAGAAGACATGGGTATGACTTATAAAGAGTTGAGTGCATATGGACGATTAAGAAAACCAGGTGGATGTGGCCCTTATTCCATGTTCTGCAAACTTGTTAATAAATGGTCACCTTTATATCATCCTGAAGAAGTAGCTGCTAAGATTAAACATTTTTTCCAAAGATATTCAATCAATCGTCACAAAATGACTGTTATTACACCTTCCTATCATGCTGAATGCTACAGTCCTGATGATAACAGATTTGACCAGAGGCAGTTCCTTTACAATGTAAAATGGGACTGGCAGTTTCAAGCCATTGATGCTGCTCTTCAAAGATACAAAACTAAAAGAGATTATAGGAATGATGCTTTGCTTCTTAATTCTGCTAAAACATATCATTTAAAGGATAGTACTGATAAAAGTTTCGCTGATAAAAGTGGATCATCGTCATCTGAACATTTATCTGTAAAAGGTAGACAAGGCATCGTGGTTCCTGAAAAAGTACCCGAATGTTCAGGTGATGATGGCTCTTCTTCTTCAAAGCCAAGTGTGCCTAGACGAGTTGTAGTAAAATCATGGAATAATGATATTTTATCTTTCTAATAATAATTTGCAGATTGTCCTACTAATAACTTCAGACTTTGCCTCAAAATAAATAATATTATTTTTTCTTTTAAATATAGAAATGTGAGTCAATTCAAATAGATGTTTATAGAAATATAGTTGTATTGCATCTAATATATAATATTTGGTTGCATAATTGATATTTTTTAATGTGTATATGATTGTTATCATAAATATAGGTTCAATGGAAAAAATGCCACAAATTGAAATGCACAAACTCAAAAGCATTAAAAGTATTGAAATTGTATCAATATTAAGAAGCTAAGAAATGTCCAAAGTTTTCTTTTTACTTTATTAAGTATAGATAGTTGTACAATTTGCTACATATTAGATCTTATAACTGTATTCAATTTCATGTCAGGCTCCTTTAATTTTCGAGTTATAGCTGTGTTTGTTTGCTCTTGTGATTTTTTGCTGCATGTCCAGGGGATCTGTATCTTTTCACTCTTTTCAATGTTTTGCAATATATTTCATCCAAAAAAAAAAAAAAAAAAAAAAAAAGTGCTTGCTAAAGTAACAATAAACTTAGATATATTCTGCATGGATGGTAAGTTTGAGACATCTGGCATGTTAGGGGATTGGTTGATCTTTTGGCTGAGATGTCGAGAAATTTCTCATCCATGTTTTTTATCCCACATTTAGTACTTTAATTATGTTAATGTATATAGCAATTTTAGAGCAATATTTTTTTATAATCCCAGCATTCTTTTTGATGGCTGTGTTATTCTGTTGTTTTTGATGGTTGTTATTGTGTTGAAATCTACTTAAACTGGTAATATTATATACATGTATATTTAATTGAGAAATCATGCTGCCTTGGAAGTGATCATATTTCATAATGTTTTTATTGAAATCTTATTTTCATAAGATATTGCAATCTTATTTTCTGGAGAATATTGTTATTTCAAGTTATTTATCTTATATATATATATATATGTGGTGTGTGTGTGTGTGTGTGTGATTTGGTTATAAATATATAACTAAATATGTATTATTTATTTACCTTGTGATGTTTTATAACTAATTCAAAAACATTTCTGAATTATAGAATAAAGAATGTTGTAATAACTGTCGAGATAAATGTATGAGAAATAAATACAGCTTATATATCACATGGCAGTCTTATTTAATAGATATTTATTTATGATAAATCATTTCTCTTGATGGAAATAATAACAGGTGTGAATTATTTTATTACTGTAAGTCCCATCCAAATTCTCAAAGTTTCAAAAAAAAAAAAAAAAAAAAAAAAATCCATATGGATTGTGTGTCCTGCTATAATTTAAATATGGAATAAAAATTTCTGCAGTGTCATTACTAATACAGACAATCAGAGAAGTGATGTCAGAAGCTGGTGTACAAAGTTCATTTCATATGATAGGCTTTATATGACCATGAATTGCATGAAGCTTAGAGATAACTAGATTCTGAAGTTTGACTCTGTTACAATTATTATTGCAAGACAAAAAGAAAAAAGTAGTTATAAAGTTAAATAACTGGGTTTCGAAGTTTGACTGTATTACAATTATTGTTGCAAGGCAAAAAAATAAAAAATAAATAAATTAGCATGAAGTTAAAAATGCTTCATTTTGCAGATAAAAGTTTTAAATATAACTGAACAAAATTATTTTAAGGGAATGATTATGAAACATTGATATGATTCTTATGGTAAATAATTTTAGTGTATGCAAATTTCTGACAGAGAAGTGAATTTTGTGATGTGAAAAAGGTTAGTTTCATATTGTAATGAAGAACTGAAATTTGCCTACTTTATAGCTATCATTCATTTTTTTTTTTTATCTGTTACAATGCTTTTATTTTACAATTAATTTTCAATTAAGAGGGTTTTTTTTTTTTTTTTTTTTTTTTTTTTTAAGTTCTTGTAGTTTCCTTTGCTGTTTTCCTTTTTCACACTAAGGATGTTATTCTTTCTATCCTTAACTTACGTGGCAGTTGGGTCTTATCAAACTATCAATAATGTATAAAATCATCTCATTACTGTGAAAAATACTGTTTGATGTTATCATAAACTGCAGAGTTTAGTTTATTATTAAAACTGCTTTAAACTTTTTCTGTATGGGTATTTAAAGCTAAAAATCATCTGATTACTCTCAAAAATACTATTTGATATTATATTCTATAATTTATTAACATGCTGTAAATGTTTTCTGGGTAAGTATGTCATGTATAAGCCCAGAGCTACAAAATTTGGCATATAGATGTTGGACCAGGCTGGTATACACCTTGAAACAGTTTTTTTCCTGATTTTTCACATAATGAAAAAGTAAATGAAGGATCTCAGAATTTCTCTGTTTTCACCATCATATAAAGTCTTGGAAAAGGGTTTTAAACTTCTTTTCAACTGCAACATAATTGACCAATTTTGTTGACTAAAAAAAATCATTTTGTTTTGACAGTTGAGCATTTGTTATATTAAATCTTCAACATCCAAAATTATACCTTTTATAAAATTTTGAAATATTCATAAATTTTATCAAGAAATAATTTGAAAAATTTTTTCAAAAATTACCCTGATATATTATAATAATTTTGCCATTTCTGTGGTTCATTTGCAGCAAGTCTTTCTAATGTTGAAAATAATATAAAAAGTTGAAACAACAACAAAGAGTGCGAGAAAGATGGTATTGCAATCAAGTTTTTATGATAAAGCATTGAGAAGTAATGCTTTATCATAAAAATTCGTTCTGCTTCCGAAAAACATCTATATCTTGTGCCAAATAAATGGTAAGCTAACTGTAACTGAACTTTCGAGTGGTCAAAAGAGTATAAGGGTATCATCCATTGTGTTGTATAGTACTTCTGATAAAACCTTCAAAGCCCTTAAGGTATGTAAAAATTAAAATGTTCAAATAAATGGAGACATTGTGTTGGGTTGCTTATCAAGTAAAAGAAAACCAAAAACATTACAAAGGGCAACAACGCTGGTTAATGAGAGTGTATAAGTGGTTGGAAACAAATAAAAACAACTAATTTCATTAACCAAACTAAATTATTTATTTTTAGACCCTTTTATAAAATGACTTATTAATGATCTGCCCAGAGATAAAGTAGTTTTCAAATATATTTAAGGAAGGAATAAAAGAAGACTTTACAAAACTTGCTCATTATCCCTAAATTACTGTATCTGTTTCTGTTAAATATTTTCCAACACTTTTATGGAAATTAATAAAAAGATTTTACAAAATTTTTTCTCATTATGGCTTAAAATTAAACTAAACTAAACTGGGAAGCATAAACATCCCATAGAAAGACATGGCTGGCAGTGCCCTCGTATCTGCTTTCTAGACCGTGGGCTCCGGGGTGCGTAATGGCAGACCGCACATTGAGTTGAACAGTGTTAAACGAATGTCGCATACTGCGCATGCCTAGAAAACAATTTGGCGTAATTACTATGTTGGCGCGATTTGAAAAGAAGATAAATACGGTATATGGTAGATGTACCGCCATCTGATTGTAAACAAATCTGGCGTTTAAATCTTCGTGTTAAATTAATTACTGTGTTAAAATACTATTTTTTGCTGTACTGCTCAAACAAATAGAAAGCTGAAATTATTGCGAAGTAATGTGAAGCAGTGTTTGCATTCAAAATGTAAGATATAATACTTATGAAATTCTGCATATTCTTTTGGAAATGTACAAATTTTCGTTCAGAAAAATACTGAAATGTAGGATATATTAGTTGAAAATTTATTCATTATACTTTTAAGCAATAAAAACAATTCAGGATTTACCATAAGTTCTATTCGTACATACATAAAGAAACACTGAGGAATATAATAAAGTTCTTGCAAATCACACTGAAGAAATTTTACAATTCCTTAATGCTAGTTATTAAATTCTTTGAAATGAGAAAATAAAAGCGCGAATATACGCTAACAAACTAAGCGAGAAACTCCAGTTTATAATCACTGAATTATAACATGTAAACAAATTACATCTAAATAACGAATTATTACGAACATATGTTAACAAATATTAAATGCACTGTTACTGACAAATTAAAATGAAACATATATTAGAAAAATAAGCAAGTGCAATTAAAATAACTAACAAGCAAAGCTTCACAACATTGCAAGTGTAAACATCACTCGAACACACTCGACAGCCATGGAGATCACGAATAACCTAGCGTAGGGTTGCTTATTCGCCAATATTTCTCCCCGCGCCAAAGGTACACCATCAAGCATGCGCAGTAAGCGAAATTCGCTTAACACTGTTCAACTCAATGTGCGGTCTGCCATTATGCCTCCGGGGTGCTTGTGTATCTTAGCCTGGATAAGTGGTCAGCTTGTTGCAGAACCCCGGTGTTTGGCCTCCAAGCGAACTTGGTACTCATTTTATAGACCCATTGCAGGGATGAAAGGCTGAGTCAACCTTGCCCAGCCCGGGGATCGGGCCCCGGACCTGTGGTGCTGCTGCACGTCGCGCTAGCCACTGCGCCACCGGATCTAATGACTAAAATTACAATTTCTTAATTACTAAGTAACAATAATACTTGTGTGGATTTCTTTTATATTAATGACAATAGGTGCTGGAAAACTTCAGGGTAATCAGTGGTTTATGGTGGTATGTACAAAGAAGAACGAATTACTTATCTCGGCAAGTTGACGAATAGTCTTCAACCACAGTGTCTGATAGATGCCACATCCCCAAGTTTTAGTAGAGGCAGTGCGACGAAAATCTTAAAAAGAAGGCTGCCCTTTGTGAAACTAGGGACGATTTATCCCGGCTGGGCTTTGTTCCATATTGAAAGACTGGAGATGATAAGGAGATGATGACCCACTTCAAATGGAGAGCTGTCTTACTGCTGTAGGACAGAAGGACTTTTCATGGTCGGCGCAGATGACGAGGTGAAGGATTAGTTCCATATTTGAAAGAAAAAATGTTACCATCGGAGACAGAGACACTAGACTATTAATTTTGATTCATAATAACATTTCTTTTCTGCACACACCCACGCAGAGTAACGCAGATGTTGAAAGTCTAGCAAAAAGGATTATCTCCAACTCCCAACTGTTTATGTTGCACATTGTGTTCCGGCTGTTTTATGGTAAAATGTCAATAAGGGCACATCAAGAAGTCTAATTGCAGAACGGTGCATCCAGGAGGACAGAGTAATAGGTGAGGACTTTCTACTAGTATCGGTAACGTTACGCCACGATATTGCGAATTTCGCAATGTCTGTGGCTCAATAAAAATGTCGCCCTAAAGGCACTTCACGTAAAAATACATCAAGTGAAATTCTCAGAAGTGAAAATTCTCCTTTTGTAGAATTTCGCATTGAAACAAGTTGAAATTCATGAGGTGGTTACAAATAGTAGCTTTTTTGTAGAAATTCTTATTAATTTTGTTTCAGTAGTTTCAGTAATGAGATCCTCCTGCTATCTTTGCACACATAGTAGAAGCTTGCGTTAGTGACTATCCACAGATATTTACTTTGCATTTGTTGGAGTTTCAGCAGGTCATTTTTGGTAAGAATT